CAAAGAGCAGCTAATTTTTTATGAAGTCCAATTCAGCCATATTTTTAAAAGGGGGTTGTCCTTTTTATTTCCTATCTAAAAAATAACTGCCAAGCTCGCCTTCACAGAGATGTTCTCCTAGGTTGTAGAAGGTATATAGTTTTCTGTTTTTTAGTTTAGGTCTGTGATCCACTTAGAGTTAATTTTTTGAGTTCCAGGACTGTTCTAACCACAACTTTATGATAATTTTTAATTGGGCATTCCTATATACCAGGCACTGTGCATACAGTCTGTGTATGCTATCTCATCTAAATACTCAGATTCATCTTTTGATAGGTACTATTATTATTATTATTATTATTATTATTATTATTTTGAGTTGGAGTCTCACTCCGTTGACCAGACCGGAGTGCAGTGGCTGCTCTCGGCCACCGCAGCCTCAACTTGCTGGGCTCTGACGATCCTTCCGCCTCAGCCTTCCGAGTAGCTGGAATTACAGGCACGCGCTACCACGCCCGGCTAATTTTTGATTTTTTGTAGAGACGAGGTCTCGCCAGTTGCCCAGGCAGGTCTCGAACCCGCGGGCTCAGGCAATCCACTCACCTCAGCCTCCCAAGGCGTGGGATTACAGGCTGAGCCACCGAGCCCGGCTCACTTTTGTTTTAATATTTGTTTTTTGGCCCTGGTTCCTGACACAGAACTCCTAATTCCTTGGAACTGCCTGGGCGATGGAGGGTCTTTTGTTCTAATGAGGGGTCTCCTGGAAGCTCCTGGATAGGGGCTGGTCACCAGAAAGACCAGGCCATGATGAGAAGCCCCAACTGCCAACCTGTCCCTCATTCTCTGGAGTGGAGAGAGGGGCTAGAGATGGAATTAATTATTGAGCTTGCTGACCTAATGACACCTTCACAAAAAACCCCAAAGTGTGTGAGGTTTAGAGAGCTTTGGGGTTGCTGACCCCAGCCATAGGCCTCAACTCCATGGGAATGGCAGCTCCCGTGCCCAGGGGCCCGTCCAGATCTCGCCCTTGGGACCTCCTGCTCTGACTCTTCAACTGCACCTTTTACCATCCTCTTATACACATAATACTTGTGATATGATATTAACATAATTATGCAAGTGTTTACCTGAATTCTACAAACCACTTAGCAAGTTAATAGGACCTGAGGAGGAGTCATGGGAACCCCCATTTATAGAACTCCCGGAGGCCCAGATTTGCAACTGGCATCTTCAGTGGGGGTCAGTCTTGTGAGGCTTAGTTCTCAACCCGCAGGATTTGACATTGCCTTTAGGTAGATAGTGTCAGAATCGAATTGAATCATGGAACACCCAGTTGGTGTCCACCAGAGAGTTGATGTGTAGGAGAAACCCCTCATATCTGGTGTTAGCAGTAAAGAACTGTGTTGAATGTTAAGAGCAAAGTAGGAAAAGACAGCTTTTCTATTACATCTCAGGTCAATTTCCTTAATGTCTGTCATTACAACAACTGATTATTTCCACTTCCCTTATTCCAGAATCTTTGATGTTTTTTATTATCGTGTAGTCAACACATGTGTGGCAGTGGCCATGTTATCAGGCACTGTTCTTAGGCTCTGTTCTAATTGAAATACATTTTAAAAAATCCTGAAGCTTTGGCCCTCTCCCATACCTTGGGGAGGTGAATTTCCTCTTTCTCTCTAGCCTACTTTCTAAATAAACAATATTTTCCAATTAAAAAAAAAATCCTGTCCATTATTTGTTTTCACCATTAAAAATGCCTTCTCTCCACTCTTAAGGCATTACTTTTGGCTTCTGAGTATCAGTCACTTATACATACTCCATCTACTTTAAATGTTAGCTTCTTGTTTTATTTTAATGAGAAAAAGCAGAAATGTGTAACAACCTGATATTAGGCATACTTATCATCTTAAAAACACACATTTGTGATTTTTAATAGGATAGAGGTATAAGGGGTTATACAATGGCTTCTAATCCAATGGCAGTGCAGTGCAGAGACAGACATCTGCAAGTCAATAGACAAGGAGGGAGTATTCTCTCTGCACTTAGTGATACCACCCTGATGCCCATCAGTCCTCTCTGGATAGTGTTTCTTTGTATTTCCTCCTTTCTGTTCTTTCCACCTTTCTGTTCTTTTCTCCTTATTAAAACTTGTCACTGGATCATGTTTTACAATATTGGAATCAATATGGTTTCAAGAACTCAACTGAATTAACTTACCATTCTGCCGGGAATTCCCACACCTGGCAGGCCTATGTCTCCTGGGGCGCCATGGACACCTGGTAACCCTCGTTCACCCTGAGAAGTGGGATGTTTCTGTTAGGTAAAGCTCCAGAGACACAAACTTTCTGTTATGTTTTGGTTAACATTAATGATTTAAAAAGGAACTAGGCCAGGCACGGTGGCTCATGCTTGTAATCCCAGAACTTTGGGAAGCCTAGGCAGGAGGATCGCCTGAGCTCAGGAGTTCGAGGTGCCAGTGAGCCATGATCATGCCACTGCACTCCAGCCTGGGCAACAGAGTGAGACCCTGACTCCGTGCTGCAAAAAAAAAATGAATGATGACATTTTTATACCTTTGGCCCACGTGGGCCGGGTACCCCAGGATTGCCATCTAATCCCTAAGAGAAAAACAAAAAAAAAAGGTAAATACATTTCTTTTTCTAGAAAGTCATAACTAAAAATATGCTTTACTCCTTTTTATCTCACTTGAGTATACCTTTTTTCATAAAAGAAAAGGGAGCAGGGAATTCACATTTCAATAGGTTATAGATGTCATATAGTTACTTTGCAATATGAGGCTTTCATCTATAAAATAAGGCATCTGATATTGAGAACTATTATCATTATTATTAATTGATGTAAAAAGTCCAAAGGGGATAAGGAAAAGGCATATAAATAGACATGTTGGTTGTCTAGATTTTTCCAGTGGTCCAGTTTTCTGTGTCCTGGGGACAGTCTGGGTCACAAAGACATTTTCTGTAAATTACAGCCTGTGGTGACGTCTGCAGAGCCTCTGGAAGGCACACTGCAGGCAGTTCTTTTGTTTTGAGATAGTATCCCAGGAAGGTTCATGGTTTAAGACCAGGGTTCTTCATGGGGATTCCCAGATCCTGAAGAAAACTGCACATGGGTTCAGGGGGCCTAGGAATCTTCCGCAATCACATATGTGATGCTGTGCTCACAAATGCTTCTTTCAGAAGAAATCTCTCTGCTTTGCCAAGCGTCCTAGGAGGTTCTCTCTGAGCTAAAGAACAAGAGGGATACTCCTTTTTCTGTGACCTAAACTTACTCCTGTACATGTGATATGACACCAGGCACTTACAAGTAGTCACTGAATAACTTTCAAGACAAATGACAGGAAAAGGCTGGTACTCACCGGGTCGCCTGGCAGGCTTTTCCCTGGAGGCCCTGCCTCACCTTTGGGACCGGGAGGCCCCTGAGGACCGACAGTCCCACCTGGGTCTCCCTGGGAAAACAAGTTCAGAGTCTTACACTGTTGCTCAGGTTCACGGTGGGTGACAGTGGGGAACCATTGCTTTGAGGTGTCACCATAGCCAGTCAAACTCCATTCATTAATTTATTCACTCACTCATTCAATAGTATTTGCTGAGTGCCTAGTTCATGCCAGGCACTGTTCTAGTTATTTTAAATACACTTGGGTTTTAGTGAGTTATGTCAGCAGTGTCATAAAACATATGCATGTGTATGAAGGTGAACCCTCTCAAAAAAACCCAGAATTTATTTATAAAAAATTAGGTATTGACTCTTACATGTTTAAACTTTAGTCACTTTCAAAGTACTCTTCATTTGATGCGATATACCTATCAATATTCTTTTTCCACTGCTCAAAACAGTTTTTGAACTCATCAGTTTTGATGCCTTTTAGTGTTTCTGCTTTTTTGCTTGTCTGTTTCACCTCTTCTACATCAGCAAAATGTTTTCCTTTGAGGACTTTTTTTCACCCAGAGAAACAAAAAAAGTCACTCAGGATGAGATCAGGGGAATAGGGAGGTTGGGGCACGGGGGTCATCCCATCTTTGCTCAAAAACTGCTGAACACTCAGTGAAGTATGAGCAGGTTGTTCATTTCATCATGTATCATGAAATGGGAAAACAGGTTGAAAGAATATCCAAAAGATCTTTACTGAAGCCAAATACAGTCTTTCACAACAACGCTAGTTGCTATACCCATGTCAATGGGTTCCTAGAATACTTATCTAGTCGAGGAAGCTTGTACTACAAGGGGTCTACCCTCCAAAAAATAATTCCAGTTTTTGTCAGGGGAGTGGGATGGGATTGGCAGTTGAGGGAAACTGCTAGGGGAGGGAGGGGCATACCTCATCAACAAGGGTACTTGCATAATCAATGTTTGTATACCTAACCCTGAATTGTACCCCACATATTTATAAGAGAAAAAAAAAAGAAAAAAAATTCCAGTTTTTTGGGTTGCCATTTATGTAAATATAGGCTCAAAAGGGTGCATCTATTCATAAAGTTCTCTAGATGATCATTGTTTTCTGTAAGTTATTTCCCAATAATGGTTCAACATTAATGTACTATTTCCACGTAGACACCAAAAAACAGGTCCTGAAAGATTAAGACTTCTTGGGTCTAGACCACAGTGGGAACTGAGCCTGAGACAGATTTTCAGGGTCCTGACATCTTCCTCTCGAAGTTAGTTCACTTTGATACACGGTGTTTCTGTGCAAAACTAGAGCTGCTGAAATGCTTGGCTCCAAGGTGTGCTGTCCACCCTGGCATAGTTCCAGGAGCCCTGCACTGTCCTTCTACTTCCCAGTGTCCTTATGACCCTCTGTCTCTTCCTTCCACCTTCTTAATACACACAATGAGTGAAACGGGAACCACACCTTCTCTCCTTTGGGGCCTGGTTTTCCTGGGATACCATGTTCTCCTGGCAATCCCTAGAAAATTCAGAATTAACAGTAAAGAGTAATTAGAACATCTGTGAATCTTTGTCAAGAGAACAGAATTTTAACACATTATCTACAAGGAGATGGATTGATTTTGGTTTTCTAGATGGGAAAAATAATTAGTGAAAATTTGTGGCTTACTACTTGAAGTCACCTGGATATGATGGGAAAGAAACTTGAGGAGAATTAACAGAATATCTCACACACCACTGCTGCCAGCATCATATCATGATTTGGGAGGCCATCAGGGTCACTTGATACAATTTTTACCATGTTTTGGAAACAGTGACTCTTGCTTTTTGATTTTGTTCTCTTTTTAGTTCTAGCCACCATCACTTAATCCCAGTTCCTGAGCATCTTGTGGCCCCACCTGTGGTCCGGGATTTCCTCTCTTTTCACAAGGGCTCTGTATGCTGCTCACCACAGCGATCCATAAACTGGGTGTTTGAACACCAAGTAGACTGTGAGTGTTGACCTGGGGAGCCCGGAGGCTTGCCCATGAGCACAGGGACAGAGCAAAAGTCAGGGAGCTGCCTCCGGTCACGAAAGAAGAGAGTCTAACAATTGTCTGTGGGTGGAGGGGTGGGTGGGCATTAATCTGCACAGAGAATGATCAGTCTCCCAGAAGTATGGCTGAGGGTTTTTCTTGTTTTGCTCAAGTGTGAACTGAGGGAGAATTCTCAGCATCCAAGCTGGTAGAAGGCTAGGAAGGTTGTCCAAGGCATTAAAAGCTGAGCTGGATAATGAATAGGAAAGTGCATTTAAGGGTGTGTGTGTTTGTGTGTGTGTGTGTGTGTGGTGTGGGGGCAGAGGGAGGGAGAGAAAAGAGGAGGGAGGGAGAGATAGAGAGGGGGGGAGAGAGAGAAAGAGTTAGGAAGAAATGGAGAGAGAGAGAGAAAGAGAGGTGGGAAGAGAGGGTGGGGTATGCTCCTGGCGGGTGAGACAGGTTGTCCAGTAAGCAACTGATGGTGAGAACAAGAGCATCAGAAACAGCCTTGGGAGGTCCAAAGCACGTTTCATGTGCAGAAACAGTGGGATGCTGGAGGGTTCACTTGCCACAGATAAAGGTCATGCTGCGTTTTACAAATATTCAGGCACAATTTCTATTTTTTTTTTAGCAATGTTAAAGCACACATCACTTTTTCTTTTAGGATCAATGAGGATCTGAAGGCTCTGTGGGACCCAGAGGACCACCAGGAGGTGGGAAGAGAGAGAAAGAGAGAGAGAAGGGGAAGAGAGGGAGAGACAGAAGGGAAAGAGAGGGAGAAAGAACAGAGAGAAAGAGAGGGAGGGAGAGAGGAGGAGGAGGAGAGAGAGAGAGAGAGGCAGAAATAGAGAAGGAGAGAGGGGGGGAAAGAGGGAGACAGAAGGAGAGAGAGGTAGGTGGAGGGAAGGAGAGAGAGAGAGGAAGAGAGGGAGAGAGAGAGGGGGAAGGATAGAGAGAAACAGAGAGACAGGGAGAGAGAGAGAGAGGGAAAGGAGAGATGGAGAGAGAAAGAAAGAGAGAGAGAACGAGAGAAAGAGAAGAGAGGGAAGAGAGGGAGAGAGAGAAAGAGAAAGGAAGAGAGAGGGAAAGAGAGAGGGAGAAGGAGAGAGAGAGACAGAGAGACAGAGAGTGAGAGAGAGAGAATTATGAGTCCACAAAAGCTAGGTTCTAATGCAGCCTGTGATTCTTTCTCCAGAAACACTTGCAGCCAAAATACATGCTATTTTTGAAGGGCTTTAAAGGTATCTTCCTTGAATGGATATGTGAACCCAAAGTTGTGCATGTCAAAATTCTGGCTTTCCCTCTTGGTTTTCCTTATTTCTTTTGGTATTTCAGCCTCCTCCACTGCTGGTGCACCCGACAAACATTTCCAAAGTTGACTTGGGTTCCAGAGACCAATTCCTCAGGCTGCTGATGCTTAGCAGGGCCTCACATGGATATGGGGAGGGACAAGTCTTCCCACAGCCCCATGAGTGAGGTGTGGTGAGTTTTAGTGGCAGAGATGGCCCAGGCCTTTGGGAAGTGTGGTGTGACTGTCACTGGACAGATGTGGACATTCCTTAAGCATGTCTTAGACTCAATTTCATTTCAAAATGTCAAAGACATTATACATACAACATCTCCTGGTGGTCCCCTGGGTCCCACAGAGCCTTCAGGTCCTCTCTGACCCTAAAAGAAAAGAAAAGGTAATGATGTGTGCTTTAACATTGCTAAAAAAAATAGAGATTGTGCCTGAATATTTGTAAAATGTAGCATGACCTTTAACTGTGAAAAGTGAACTCTCCGGCATCCCACTGTTTCTGCACATGAAATGTGCTTTGGACCTCCCAAGGCTGTTTCTGATGTTCTTTCTTGCCATCAGGTGCTTACTGGACAACACGCCTTACCCGCTGGCCGGGAGCATATCCCACTAACCGCTCCTACCCTCTTGGGATGCTGCTGCAGAATCCCAAGTGAAACACACAAGCATCTCAGGGTTGCAGAATGTTGGTTTAGAAATGAATCCCAAATCCTGTTCCTTTTGGGAATACAGCTCAGGTTTATACATTTAATTCACATGGATTTTACTCTTAGAGCCTTTGGGGATGCCGTTGTGAACATGCTCTAAGAAAGAGTTCAAAAATTCTATTGTGAACCACAAGGCACAGTTACTCTGTGTGTAACAGATGCAGCCAGTGGGGGAATCACCATGGAAACAGGAGGACATTTCCGAGAGCATAAGGGGAAGTGAGGTGGGGTGGGCAAAGCGCCTTGGTCCACACACAGTGGCTGTAATCCTCAATCTATGTCCTGATTTATTTTAGGTATTTCTACGTACCTGTAGTCCTGGGCTTCCTGTGAAGCCAGGGGGGCCAGGATCTCCGGGTTCTCCCTAAACACGGGGAGGGGGAAGGAAAGTCAAATGCCACTTAAGTTTTCATGATCTCATGAAGGCTGGATATGCAGCTGAAGAATGACAGGAGTTACCTTTATTCCCTGTGATCCTGCGATTCCAGGTTCTCCCTGTGAATAAAATCATCACCACATGGGTAACGCTTGATTTAGGTGGACACGGACATCTCTGATAAGCTAACTGAATTTCCACTAATTAGCATGCAATGAAGGGGAAATTATGGAAGACACAATGAAATCAAGGAGGGGTCCATTCTAAAGCATGACTCACAATATCAATTACTAATAAATAAACAAACAGTAATTTCGAATTCTCTTTCCTCTTTATAATAGTTTCATCCCAAGGTCACTTTTGCCATTGTAATCATCATGTCCTGTTAGCAATCACTGCATTGTGCATAGGCTGACATTGTCACAATTTGCCATCAACCAATCTCTTGTCCTAGATAATTAAAACTTCAGAGGAGGGAGAGTAGAAGTTAAGGTAATACATGTTGGCAATTCTACTATCAGGTATGTGTACTTAGTGAAAAAAAATTAAGGTTATACAAAATTTTCTTGTGCCATTAACACAATGTTCTGTGTCATTAATATAATTTTTGAAAAAATTGTATCTTATTTCTCAATTTTTGTATTTGAGAGATCCTAAGGATGTCTTTTATAGTCATGCCCAATCACTACTAGTACTTGATTAAAGAAAGTATATCAAACCCGAACCAAATATTAAAGTATCTCTGTATAATAACACATAACATGGCTTAAAATTTCTCACTTATTGAAATCAAAGAGTCAAAAAACACAGAGGAAAAAATAAAAGGCTCACAGATCTTATTTAATCAGATCTATTAGACTCTAAAAGTAAACATACTAGAAATCAGAGATAAAGAAATTAATGAAGTAGAAAACCCAAGATAGTGATGAAACACCTACTTACCCTATCTCCTTTTTCACCTTTTGAAAAAAGCTCCCCCTAGAAAAATGGGCAGAAAACAGAATCAATTATAGACATTTTTGGAAATTAACTCTCCAAGCCTGCGTGTGGATAAATCCTGCATGCCAAACTCAGGCTCCAAGGCAAGCAGGCCTCCACAAAGATCTGGAGCCTCATAAGTTTGCCTTCTAAAGGGAGCATGTGGTGATTAATCTATAACTCCTCCATATTCGCAAGTGAGCCATGGCACTCATCACCTTAACACTGCTGACTGGATCTGAGTGGTTGACAGGTTCGAACGTTGCCCTACGCCTAGGCTTCCTCCCACCTGGTTCACACGGAAAATGGTCACACAGCCCGTAGATGAGGAATGGATGTGATGGTATGGAAATGATAAATGGAAAGACATGAATGTGAATTCCTTCAGTGGCTTATTGTGTGTTGACACATATAAGATCATTATTTTTTGAAATAGTTTTCTAATTTTCATGCTTACTTTAGTCAAAATGACTTGAATTAATTACTGGTTGAATAACAGCTCTGCACAAGTGTGTGGAGCTGGTAGGTTTTGGTAGACAGGTCCTGGGGAGGGACAGAAGCTTGGAGGGGCTGCCTCTCATAGCCAGCACTCCTGATGTCACTGTGTCACTATGACCACAACCCAGGCTACACACACACACATAGGCATGCACACACACACAGGCTTCTACATGCATGTGATCTTGGTTTTCTTGATCTTGGCTATAAGTTCTGTGAGTGCCAGGATAGAATTCATCCTATCATGGAAACTCTGGGGTATCACATACTATTGGTGCACATCAAAGTCTATGGAATTGGATAATTAAGTCATGTAGACATACTACTGACAGCTAACACTTATCAAATTCTTATAATGTATCTAGTACTGTTCTAATCACGTCTATACATTAACATAGTTGGTCCTCATGTATAAATGGGGTAGGTGTTATGCATACTCATTTACAGATGAGGAAACTGAGGCACAGAAAAATTAATTTCCCCAAGTTCACTCTACCAGTAAGGAGTAGTTCAGAATTTAAACCAGGCTGCCTGACTTCAATCCCAGGCTGTGCTTGTTCAGTCTGTCTGATTTGATATATTTTTTATTTGAACTGATGAATTGCCAATGAGATAGAAACTATAAATAAAAAAACATTTATTTTGCATAAGAGAAAGTGTGAGAATCATTATGGGAGATATTACTGCTCTCAGGATTCTCTTTAGGGAAGGCTACTTTCTTAAACAAGTCAAGCACAGGAGAGAAGTAGGTGTTAATTTTCAGCCCCGGTCCCCTGTCTTGGGGATTGTGGGCTCACCTTCTTCCTCCTCCATTTCCCAACTCCCTTGCGGTCACCTAGTTCTGGCAACAAAATGTTAGCAGAGGTGGCATGTGTCACTTGCAGATAGAGGTAATGAGAGGCTTACTTATAATCTCCTGCCCATACCTAAGCCATGGTGGCTGTGATGATCATACACACCAGGTGGTGTGGCTACTTGGTAGCCATCAGCCTGGAATCTCAGGGCTGTGTGGAGAAGAACACCCACCTCCAACTGACCTGCCAGGCAGCACTGTGAACAAGAGGGCCTCTCCTAGGCTATGACACAAAAAGCTCAGGGCTAGTTTGTTTCTTAGTGTAAACTTTCTTATTCTGGCCTTCCAGAATCCGCAGGTTCTGCATCCATAGATTCAACCAACCATAGATCACAAATATTTGGAAAAAAACACAACAATAAAAATAATGCAAATTAAAAAATACAATATAACAACTATTTACATAGCATTTAAGTTGTATTAATATTAAAAGTAATCTAAAGATGATATAAAGTACGTGGGAGGATGTGCATAGGTCATATCCAAACACTGCCCCATTTTATATCAGAGATTTGAGCATCTGCAAATTTCGGTATCCACAGGGATCCTGGAACCCACTCTCTGCAGATATCAAGGGACAACTCTACACCCCATATCTATTCAACATGACAACTTTTCTTATTATTGTCAATTTCTATACAGAGAATCAGGATTTTATTTATATTCTTGGTTTTTTTTTTTTTTTTTTGAGTTTGAGTCTCACTCTGTTGCCCAGACTGGAGTGCAGGTGGCACGTTCCTGGCCACCGCAGCCTCAAGCTGCTGGGTTCCGGTGATCCTTCCACCTCAGCCTTCCAAGTAGCTGGAACTATAGGCACACAGTACCATGCCCAGCTAATTTTTTATTTATTATAGAAATGAGGTCTCACCAAATTCCCCGGGCTGGTCTCGAACCCGCGGAAGGCTCAGGCAATCCACTCACCTCGGCCTCCCAAAGTGCTGGGATACAGGCCGAGCCATATTTATATTCTTACTTTTTGATCCGCATTCTAAAAATCAGTTTAATTTTTAAGAAGGGAGATGATATTAACTAGATAGGAACAAGGGGTCAATTGCTTATATCACTACTTGTTTCTGCTTTATCACCTGCTCACATCATTGCTTATTTAGTTCTAGGGTCAAGCCCAAAGACCACATTAACTAAAGAAACTGGTTGTAAAATAAAAAAAACCGAGTTGTCTAGAGCAGGAGTCTCCAACTTCTGGGCCACAAACCACTACCAGTCTGTGGCCTGTTAGGAACAAGGCCACACAGCAGGAGGTGAGTGGTGGGTGAATGAGTGAAGCTTCATCTGTATTTACAGTCACTTCCCATTGTTCACATTACTGCCTGAGCTCCTCTTTCTGTCAGATCAGTGGTGGCATTAGATTCTCAGAGGAGTGTGAACCCTATGGTGAACTGCGCATGTGAAGGATCTAGGTTGCATGCTTTTTATGAGAATCTAATGCCTGATGATCTGAGGTGAAGCTGAGGTGGTGATGTTAGCACTGGGGAGTGGCTGAAAATACAGATTAACATTAGCAGTGAGGTTTGACTGCACAGAGAATATAATAAGTCAACAGCTTGCAGACTCATGTCAAACCTTTACCAGTGAGTGGCAAGTGAGTTGATGTACTTGTACAGCTGCATCTGGTGGCAAGCTTAAAGTCAGAATCCGACACTTATTTTAGTCCATGCATGTCTTGCTCATCATTTTATTTATCATTTCCATGTGCCTCTTTTTTTAAGGGATGAGTTGTATAATTATTTCATTATATATTACAATGCAATAATAATAAAAATAAGGTACACAATAAATCATCCCCAAATCATCCTTCCATCCTCCCCCCAATCCCCCAGTCCGTGGAAAATTGTCTTCTACGAAACTGGTCCTTGATGCCAAAAAGGTTGGGGACTGCTGGTCTAGACTTGCTATCTAGTCCTAGCTCTCACAGACACTATTAGAGACAAGTCACTTACACTTTTAGAGCCTTCCTTTCCTTCTCTATAAAACCCTGAGGTTCAATTTGCCCCTGACATGTTACACATCTAGTCACGGTCTATGTCCCAGGAGTGAGGGACAATTGCCATTTTATTTATTTATTTATTTTATTTTTTATTTTTTGAGTTGGAGACTCACTCTGTCGCCCAGACTGGAGTGCAGTGGCCGCTCCCGGCCACCGCAGCCTCGACCTGCTGGGCTCCGGCGATCCTTCCGCCTCAGCCTTCCAAGTAGCCGGAATTACATGCATGCGCTACCACGCCCGGCTGATTTTTTGATTTATTGTAGAGATGAGGTCTCGCTGCCCAGGCGGGTCTCGAGCCCGCGGGCTCAGGCAATCCACTCACCTTAGCCTCCCAAAGGCGTGGGATTACAGGCTGAGCCACCGAGCCTGGCTGACAATTGCCATTTTAAAGTTACCATTCAGGATGGGTGGTTCAAAATTCAACTTTGGATGCAGACTGCTCTTGTGTTTGGACCTTCTGACTACCATGCAATATCAAGTCTATATCCTGTTCTGGAATAGAAAGGTTGAGGACATGAAGAGCTATATTGCTCATACAATAGTGTAAAATGCATGCTTTTGTATGTGCAGGTCGGGCGAAGGGCTGATCAAGGGTTAGGAGAAGAATTCAGAGGAAAAGAAGCTTGATCTTCTGGATAAGAAAGACAGGACTAAAGGAAGTGGGGGTGAGGGGTAGGAGGGCTGCCCTGATTGTTGGTAGAAGGAGAGAAAGCTGGGGAACCTGTCTAGGAGAAGGCCTATTACCCCTAGGCACTATGACACCCTCCAACCTTTGCTACTCACAGCATGGAGAACTGGTGGAAAATGCAGAGTCTCAGGCCCCACTCACTCCAAACCCACTGAACTAGAATCAGTAGGATTTAAGTTTGAGCGGCACTGCTCTAATGCTCAGAAAGTCCCTCCGTTCTGCTCTATGACTGTTGCTTTAGAACTGCAGTGGCACTTTGGCACACCTCCCCTCAGGTCCTTCCTATGTCCCGTGGACATGAAGAGAAGGCGGCATCAGTGCTCGGGAGGAAGGGAAGACCTAGAGACCTAGAGAAGCAGTCATGAGATGGTGAGCGGAACCTCCGAGGATAAGGCCCCACAGGTGGTCGGCAGGCGGAGGGGCAGTGACTCCCAGGCTGTGTGGGGTGTGAGATCTCTCGGGCACCATTGGAAGCACTCAGTGGGGAGCCCCATCAAAGACTGCTAAATCCCATGGGCCTGTGGGGGCTTGGACCACATGCTAAGAGCAAGCATGATCTGAAGGCAGGAGGACCGGAATACGTCATCCACCGCATGGATCCTAAGGCTGCCTGCAGAAATGTCCGTCGCTGCAGAAGAGGACCTTCAGTGACGCTTTTGTTTGTCATGCAGGCATTCTAGGACCTCTTTATTCCCTACCCCTGGGATCCCTGTTCACTGGATAAGAAGGAGTAAAAGGGATTTTAAAAGATGTACTACCTTTTTAACAAAGATGAAACATTTGTTAAAACCAATTCTTGGTGATTCTTGAGGGCTGCTGAGTTTTTGTTTTGTTTTAGCACCATTAAAAACACTCATTTTTTTTGTATCTAAGATTTCTATAATCTCTTCAAGTGGTCCTATTTGAACATAAACGGTACTGAAGATGTTTTTTTTTTCTTTCTTTTTTTCCCTACTAAAAGAACTAAGTTTTAAAAGAAACTGACCTCAGTAATGCTGAAGAGTGGCTTGGGAAGTCACTTTGATCTTATAAAGATTAAGGAAGAAAAATAACTTCAGAAAGTAAACTGAGGGTACTTGTTTGAGCAGATGGATGCATGTTTCCAATTTTTTGGATAAATTTCTACCAGTCTTTTGATATACTGATTTTATTATTCATTTTAGCTATGTTTAGTTTAGTTTTAACAAAGCAGCTTAGTGATCTTAAGCCCTAGGTTCTATAACCAGGTCACCTAGGCATGGTTCATGGCTCTAACACTTTGCCACTATATGACCTTGGGCAAAGTTTCTTAACCTCTCTGAACCTGTTTCCTTAACTGAAATGCCAGGGTGATAATGGCATACCTCATAACATGATTTTTATGAACTAAGTAAGTAAATACATGTAAAGGACTTAGTGCCTGGCATAGCTTGTACCAGCTTGAAGAGCTGATCTATTGTTGTTCACCATGACAGGGTCAACCAAGGTACATGGGATTGGAACTGATTTGGAAAAACATATATATATTTTGAGTTGGAGTCTCACTCTTGTCACCCAGGCTGGAGGGCAGTGGCATGATCACAGCTCACCACAGCCTCAATCTTCTGGGCTCAACCAAATCTTCCTTCTCAGCCTCTCGAGCAGCTGGGAACACAGGTGCATACCTCCATGCCTGGCTTTAATTTTTTTGTAGAGATGAGGTTTTACGATATTGTCCAGGCTGGTCTTGCACTCCTGGACTCAAGCAATTCTCCTGCCTCGGCTCCCCAAATTTCTGCGATTACAGGTGTAAGCCACTGCACTCAGGCTGAAAAAATATTTTTAATCCAATTTTTTTTTATTATTCCTCCTCTGTCCTTAAAGCTAAAATACTTACAGGTTCTCCTTTTTGTCCTTTAGGGCCAACTGATCCTGGAAATCCCGGCAGTCCAGTTTCACCCTGTCAAGGCAAAGCAGAGGAGGGATTTTGCAGATTAGATGAGTACTGCGTGGTGACTGTCGAAACCAGAGTGAACACTTCCTCCTTCTAACCATGAGTTTATCTTTCAGCATCCAAGAGACAGTGCAAAGTTTTGAATCTATTTGGGCTATTTGCATAATAATGTGTTTGTCAGCACTTCACAATCTCTTCATGTTTTTTAGGAGTCGATAATATTTCATTAGAATATTTAAATTAGTGTGAAACAAGTTAATTATTTTTCAAGGAAAGAACACCTAGAGGGGAAAAATTATAATTTTGTTCTGGTGTACCCCAAAATAAATTTTTGTGGTCTTAAAGACATCAAATTGTTAAACTGACATAATAACCCAGACACATTTTATTTCAGACACTTTTCTTTCTTTCTTTAATTGAGGAAGTCAGTCCTCATGAAGAAAAATGTGTCTCTCAGCTGTTTTCAGCATTGACATCACTGCTGAGATGACTGCTAGGGACAAAGAAGGCATTCTTGCAGATGTGGTGATGGCAGCTTAGAAATTTCTAAGAAGTCTGGCCAAAAGTCTTGAAGAGGGATTTGTATGTGGCATATGAAGCATTTTTAGTGAGGACTAAACCTGACCTTTTTCTCTTTCATCCAAATTCCTCACTAAGAGGCTTGGGGAGTCATGTCAGAGAAGAACTCACCAGACAAGGTTTTAGTACTCTCTTACCCCATATTCTAAAGTTTGTTTTTCAACCTGACTCTGGCATAACATCACATAACAACTAAATAAGGAAATCAAAGTACCTTATGGTCCTGCAAAGTCCTCTCTTGGGGACTCCCAGACCCTGAGAACCTTGTGATAAGGAAGACCCCAGTCCAAATCCTTTGTTAGTCTAGAGAATGACAGGTAGCCAGCTGGGGAGAGATTCTACAGGTAGTCTGTGGGAATTTCTGATAGGCACAATGAATACTGACTAGTTAAAATTAGAAGGATAATTTGTAACCTTCACAATGTTAATGCAATCATGAATTAATAGAAGCTTTGGGTTTCTAACTATATGAATCTAACTTCCTGCTAAACCCTAAGGTAATCATTAACAACGTAGTCTTAGGTGTGATTTACTTGCATTAAGCTAGCATCTATTTCAGTGTTCACAAATTTTGTTTTCAATGATTCACAGTTTTTTTTACAATGGTGAAGAAGCTAACTTACTCTTTCCCATGTACTCTGTGTGACCTGTTAAATAGTTACTAAACTCTAGAAAGCTTTCCTTTGTCTTTAATAACAAAGGCATGAAGCTCAGAATGGTACAGAAATGTATAAGTGATGAACATCAGAGTAATGGAATGCAGATGTCATGGGAACGTTCTGAAATGTTGTAGCTTGATGTTAATCGATAGCAAATCTTGACACTCATGTTTATAAATACGGACTGTAAAATCTGAGGAGCTGAGCTGACTTTGGTATCTATACTGGCATGTCTCCCTGAATTCTGAATTCAGAAATAAAATTCTTTCTTCCCAGTTCCCTGCCTCTCTACTCTTATTGGTGGTGAGGGAGAGCAGCTGTATGTTCCATGGATCATTTCACTTGTGAGGCACAAATCTATCCTCTCTGAAGTCTGTCACACATGGGACTTCATCTACATATCAACAAACCTGGAATCTTCCACCCTCTTATCTCAACAAAACATCTCCTCTACTGATTTTAAAAATTCCTTAGATAGGAGTGACAAATTATCAGATGAGAAATCTTTGAATCCACCTGTAACCTGCAAGTTCCCACTTGGAAATGTCCCTTCTTCCTAGGTAAAACCAGTGAAAATCTTATATGTATGGTTTCTTGTACCTTCCTAAAATGTATATAATGTATATAATAATCAAGTCACCATTCAGCCATGAATGGTGCACATGTTCTCAGGGCCTCCTGAGAATAGGTGTTTCCAGGTCTAAGTCCACAAGTTTGGTTCAGAATACACCATCTTAAAATATTTTACAGAGTTTGACATTTTTTCATCAACATTAGAAAGTATAATTTGAGAATTAATACTTGTAAAAAGGAAGTATATCACTAATCCAACTTCAGAGAAGCCCCAACTTTGTGTTTCCTTTTAGTATTTACAAAGATCCTTGATTCACCACATAATTCTTAAATAAATGAAGCCCTAGAAGACATGTAGTACTGGTGTTCTTTTCCCAGCCTTAAGAGCATTTTTGCAAAATGATCACCCTAAGTTTCTGGGCCTATACCTTTTTTGCTTATCTTGTACTATCTTTTGCTTTATAGAAAACACAAAGTAGAAAATACCAAACTTTCATGAACCAAACACCCGAAATGAAAGAAAGAAGAAAAATTACAGCAAAGAAGAAATTCCCTATATTTTCTTCTATGTTCCCACTCCAGAGGGAGACACTCTCATGAATTTAGCATTTCTCTTTTCAGTTCATATTTTTGTACTTGTACTGCAAATGTGGAATGATAAACAATATATTGCTCTGACTACTTAAGGCAAACTCCATAAATAGCTTTATCTTGTATATAACATGCTACTACTTGGTTTTTTCACTCAGCATTGTTGTTGTTTTGAGTTGGAGTCTCAATCTGTCACCCAGGCTGGAGTACAGTGGCATGCTCATAGCCACCACAGCCTCAACCTGCTGGGCTCAGATGATCCTTCTATTTCAGCCTTCCAAGTAGCTGGAACTATAGGCATGTGCCACCACGCACGGTTAATTTTTTTATTATTATTTGTTGTAGAGATGAGGTCTCGCCAAGTTGCCCACGCTGGTCTTGAACCCGTGAGCTTGGGCAATCCTTTCACCTTGGCCTCCCAAAGTGCTGGGATTATAGGCGTGAGCCACCGTGCCCAGTCAAACATTGTTTTTAATATCAATCTCTATCGTGTTGTTTAGTTCATTCATTCGTTATAACTGCTGGGTAGCATCCTAACATGTTAATATGTCAGGACTTAGCCCTGTCTCACTGATGAACACTTGAGTTGTATATAGATTTTCTCTATTGTAAACAAGGCTGCAATGAACATCTAATCTTGCCCCTTGTGTGGATGTACCTATCTGTTTAATTTGAAGTCTCTGACAACAGTCTACTAAAAAGTGCATTAAGTACAAATTTATTACAGTCTTCAAATCTTTGACTTTTTTCTAGTTATCTCGTAATCTATACTTTGTGATTTTTTGTATAATGGATAAGCAAGATTGTGATTTTATTCATCAATCTTCCATATTTGTGAAATATATTTTGCAGATTTAATCTTGATTTTATTAAAAATTTAAAACCTCATGAAATATTGTAACCATGCAACCAGCCCAGACTGGGCCTGCTGAGTGACCTTGTAGCCAGAAACTGCAAGCCAGGCAGTCTGGGTGTGTGCAATTAAAAAAGCTTTGATGTCTAACAACACCTAGAACCAGTGCTTCTCCCCTTGAAACCAAGAAGACCAGGACATGATCGGAACCTGAATGCAAGAACCTTTTGGAAGCAATGGGGTCTGTTGAACCAGGAGATCTGGAGCTAAATCTCCCTCAACATACTTTACTGTCAATGGTCAAATTAGAAGTTCTTCAATCAGATCCTGCCAAGCTAACTATCCTAAATCCCTTTCCCTGCCCTCTGATCCCTTAAAACTTGCCCCAGACTCCAAATTGAGGAGACAGATATGAGCTGACTTCTAACTCCTTGCTGACTGGTTTTGCAGTAGTCTTTCTTTTCTCAAACACTGGTGCAATAGTTATTGTCTCCTGTGTAGGATAGGCAGTGAGCCTTATTTGCTGGATAGCAATACTATAAAATATATATTCATTCATTGATCTTTGTTCCAGTTTCCTGGCAGATAGCTCTTAAAATACTTAGAATCTCCTAAGTGCTAGGCATCTTTTGTATGCTAACAAGTTGACTGGTGGCTGGGGTTCCCTGGCTTCGATGGAAGCTGGGCACCAGAAAGACCAAGGGTTGGTCTTTTAACCTCACCTCCAGTTTCTGGAGAGGGGAGGGGGCCTGAAGGTTAAGCTGGTCACTGATGACCAATGACTTGATAAATCCTGCCTACGTAAATGATACTTCCATGAAAAAAACAAGAGGACAGGGCTTGAGAAGCCTCTGGATAGCTGAACACGAGGAGAGTCCTAGAGTGTATTGCCCGGGAAGGCATGGAAGCTCCATCCTTTTCCACATGCCTTGTCCTACACATCCCTTCACCTGTATCCTTTGCAATATCCTTTATAGCAACAGGTAAATCTAAGTAAGTGTTTTTCTGAATTCTGTGAGCTGTTCTAGCAAACCAGTCAAAGCTGAGTAGGTGGTTAGGAGGATCTCTATTTATACTAAGTCAGAAGGCTTCTGATTGGCATTTGATGTGGGATGCAGTCTTGCGGGACTGAGCCCTCAGTCTGTGGGTTTTGATGCTACCTCCAGGCAGACAGGGTCAGAAATGAATGGAATTAGAGGACAACTAATGATGTCCGCTGTAGAACTGATTGCTTGCTGGGTGTGTGGGAAAAAAATCCCACACCTTTGGCCACAGAAGTTGTTTGTATTGCGAGAGTTGATAGTAGGAAAAATCTGTTTATTCTTTTGACTCACCTCAGTACTAATTTTTTATACTATCAGTAATAGTAAGGCCCTGTATGGGACAGTCAAGGGGCCAGATCCATAAGAAGCCAATTTGCAGACTTATCAGGGTGCATATCCTAGAGCAATGCTTCCCAAAGTTCAGTCATTCGCATCCAATTGCATAATTTTTGCTATGTTCATATACCACTAATATGTTCACAGCTTACTTTTTTCTCTAAATTCAATCACATTCTAAATTTAAATAGTTAATATGTCCTGTGAAGTAATATCCATGAAATTTAAAGTTTGTTTGTGATATGTATATATTTTCTTCCTAATACAGTGTAAAGTACATAAACATTTTTTCTTCCAGAATCTGAACATCTAGTGTATCATTAATCTTATACTCATTATGCTGTAGGAGAAGCCATTTCCTCTCACTAAAGATTGTAAACTATATCCAAGTCAGAAGAGTGAGAAGTTGGTGAACAAAGTCATTTGTTTATTTCTTTCATACCAACAACAATTGGCCTTGTAAGCATCAGGGTGGGCAGAATGACCTCCATGTTGCCCATCTGGTAGGTGCTAAAATCCGCAGTGTATAGGTGTGAAGAAAAACCAGGCCCAGTAATCAGACTCACCCAATAAAACCAAAATAGGAAGCAGAGAAGGGGGTCTAGAAATCACATCTGCCCAATATCAAAGGGGTAGGGTAGAAGAGTGTACATGAAAAAGGAAGAGGAATTACATTCATAGCTGCTATATACTTGAACCAATGCCAAAAGATCTCCACCAAAATACAGAGAAGAACCCAACAGAAATGGTAGTCCATCTCTCTGCGTGATCCTGGGGTGACATGAGGGAGGGGTGGGAATCTTAGGAACCTCTTCCCTTTGTATACTGTTCTGCACACAGAAGCATTTTGTACATGAATCTTAGACATATATGGAGTTATTTTTATATTTAAAATGGATATTTAATGATTTATCACTGTGGTTATGAGTCAGAAGACAAGTGATGAATTTACTGAGCATCAAGAAAGGTTGTCCTTCAGTTTGATACTTTCAATGCTATTCGAAAAGCCTGGTGCTGTTGATAATCTGTCCCAAAAGATGTCTTCTATTTTCTCAGGAGTACTTAGGTGTTCCTCCACCTTCCTCCGCTCTCTCTCTAAAGTGCCAGCTCTCCTCAAGCAGCTTGTGGATACATACTCCATTTACCCATCCTGGGGTCCCAGGCAAGCTACAGAGCAGGATCACCCATCACTTCAATACCCACGGACGGTCACATGGATGGTCTCCTTGGCTGTTTACCACCCACAGCAAGTCGTGCTCCTCTGTGTTCTCCCTATGTCTCAGTGGTCCTGATACAGGATGTGGCCTTAGACCAGGAGTGATCTGCATGCAGACATTTCCTGTTCACTGAGCAGCTGAGTTCCAAGTGGCTGGCTGTCTTGTCATTATATTTTGCTGGTTAGATCCTTGAGACATGGCATAAGATACAGCAAGGACAAATCATGTGTGTGTTTAATTACACTTCTGGTTAAATTTTCTGCAACACACATTGAGTCCCTTCTCTGTCAATATCTTGGTGGGACATGCAAAGATGGGCAAGACCGGGTGCCAAAGATGGTGACAACAATAAGTACCAAAGAGTGCTCAATGAGACCTCATGAGAGGAACAGGATTGAAGAGTGAATAGAAAAGCATATATCTTTTGTGAGGGCTTAATATGTGCCAGGTATTGTGCTTTTGAGGGATTTCATCTTAGTGGATTTGAATCCTCCGGCCAACTCTTTGTATAGATACCACGATGTTCACTGTGCAGATGAGGAAACGGATGCTTAGGTCATGAAGTGGCTCTCCCAGGGTAACACAGCTGTTCATACCATGATCAACTTTTGATCCCAAAGCCCATGCTTTTCCCAACACTCAGTGGTTTTCAAACCTGGCTGGGTATTAGAATCATCTGGAACACTGTTAAATAGTAGAGACACAGGCTTGCCCCAAACCAGAGTCTTTATGGAAGGAGCCTGGGTACAGGCATTTTTGAAAGTTCTGCAGGTAATTCCAACATTCAGCTGGGTTCAGAGCCACGGGGCTCACCTCAGGCTAAGTCCTGTGAGAGCAGCTTGAAGGGCTTTGCATGTTCACCACAGAGGTCCCATGAACAGCGTGATGACATTAAAAATCAAGGTGTTGATTGAGAAGAGACACTAAGTGGACATGCACAGGTAGAGTTGATCTCACTCTTCAGCAACTTCATGCTTGTGAGTTTTGTTTGTCTATTTTATGCATTATTTATTGGCAGAGTCTTTCCCCAGTTAATTACATTTTTTGAGTCAGGGTCTAACTCTGTTGCCCAGGCTGGAGGGCAGTGCACGATCATGGCTCACTGCAGCCTTGACCTCCTGGGCTCAGATGATTCTTCTGTTTCAACTCCCGAGTAGCTGGGACTACAGGTGTGTGCCACCACACCCAGCTAATTTTTAAAATTTTTTTGTAGAGATAAGGTCTTGCTCTGTTGCCCAGACTGGTCTTCAACTACTGGGCTCAGTGATCCTCGTAACTTAGTCTCCTAAAGTGCTGGGATTATAGGCGTGAGCCACCATGGTTAGCCAGCCTTGTTAATTATATTTTTTAAATCCCTCTGAATGTACATTGATATCAGATATTGCATGAAGTTCTCTGCAGACTCTTCTAGGTTATTCACTTGAATGAGCAGAGGTAACAGCTATGTCACTGAATTGTTTAAATTCCACTTAAGATTCTGAAACAGATAAGATTTTGAGTAATAGAAAGATCCTTAGAGTTTGAAATACACCTGTTTTACAGAATCAAATTTCTCATCAGTGAGGTCTTCAGAATTCCTAAGTAACATATGTTTCCTAATGAACATGGCAAAACAGAAGTCAGCTGTTTTGTTTCAAGAAATGAATCATCATTTAAATACTTTAAAAGTGTCACCACTCTCTTCTTTGCTCAGCTGTCCTGTGTGACAAGCTTTGTGGTTTTCTTTTCCTTTTTTTCCCTCTTAGCCTGCAAGTGTCCAGCAGTAATTACTTAAAATGTAATGTGTTTACTATGGTGGTGTCTGGTTTCTGTAAGCTATTGGGTAACAGGAAATAATGCTAATGTCTTAGCAAGATAATCTAAGACACTCAAATGACTTATCATTGCTGCAGAATCAGTTTTGGGATGTCTTTTTCAGAATGCCAAAGCTTTATTCATGTATTTATTTAGCAGAAAATGTCATTTTCGATCACTGGTCTATAAGTGTTTCTGTTGATTATCTTTTAGTAGTATTTTCTGGTGTTGGATATATGGTTTTTTGAATAGATTGGCTGCACTGATTTATAAGGTACGGAAGTCATCTTTTCTTGGATTTGTGGTGGAATCCCCTACCCTCCATCAAGAGAGTTTTTGCTGAGTAGGGGAATGAAGGAGCACTCACAGGCCATGTTCCCACCGAGTATTTTCAAGCCCACTCATCTGTCTGCAGAGTTGATGTGCATCTTTTCCTGACAAAGGCACATTCTCACGGAATCCAAGGTCACTACGATTTCAGAATCACATGGGAAGGAAATATCTTTTGTGCAGTGAGACCATCACCTTCATAGCTCACATAACTTAACCTGGGAGTGATGACAGTGAAAGCACGGTGGATACACATCAGCTCATTGTTCCTGAGGACATGAAGTAGGGGCCTGAGCTTGAGGCATTTTAACAAAGGGTCTTCAGACTGTTTCTGTCGCTTGCACAGATTAACAGAACATCAGCGATGAACCACATCTTGTATGCTGATTTTAAAGACCTCATGACAGCGATTTCCCCTTGGTAGGTTCCCTTTCCCTATTCAGCCTTCCACCTGGGAGATCTCCCATGCAGCAGGTTCTAGGCTTGTGACCTAGCCAGAAGGCAGAAAGAAGCTCCTGTTCTCCACAGGCTGCTTACCTCCTAAGGCAGGAGAGGCCCATGGCCACTCTGGAAATGAAACCCTGGCTCTCTTGTTCACTTTTTTTTTTAGATTGGAAAATACAGTTTATTTAGAAAGTAAGTTGGAGATAGAGAGGAGATTTACCTCCCCAAGGCAGGAGAGAGGGCCAAAGCTCAGAAAACACGGCAGCCATAGCTCAAAGAGCCATGTGGCTGACCAGGGTTTAGCCATAGCGCAAAGAGCCACATGGCTGACCAGGGTCTTTTGTTCACTTTCAAAGTCTGATTACCTTTTCTCCTTTTGGGCCACTGGCTCCACGCTCACCATTTCCCTAGGCAAACACAAACAAACATATCAAAACATTCACTTATTTTTAATGTATTCAATCTTTACTTTAGCAAATAGTAGTTTGATAATAGTACTGTGACAGATTTTTATGGACCCCAGGTAGCTTTTGCAATATCTCTGTCTCTCTCCCCTTGTGTTAAATATTCCTGTTATGTATTCTTTTCCATGATCCCTGCTTTGGGGACCCCCCACCCATCTTCTTTGCACCTGCCCCAAGAGGTTTCTCTTGCAGAAGTGTCACCCTTCTGGGATAGAGTGTCACAACCCCACATCGGCTTCTGGCCATGGCAGCTAGTCTCTCCACAGACTTGAGCTTTTCTGGCCCTCTGCACTCCCTCCTCAAATGGTCTTCATTGACCCCAGACTGCTGAGTTAGATTCTCCCTGAGAAGACAACCTTACCTGCTACTATATTGCCACTTCCAGCTCCTGCCCCTGCATCCATGTGCCCATGAGCATGCACACAAGCCATGATCCACGAGCCGTCAAGTCCCCTGAACTCACACCCCTATCTTCTTAAGAGATCTTCCTTATTAACCTCACCTACTGACATCAGGTGAAATTGGACAATCTCTTTAATGCCTTTCTCCCTCTCTCCCTGCCTACCTACCTATCCTTTCTTCTTCAAACTTAACACAAACAAAACGCACAGTTTTCCTAGGTTACTCTTTCTCTCTCCTCCCATTTCTGGGCAATTGTCTCAAAGGGATAGTGAGTGTTCTCCATGCCCACTGACCACAATGGCCTTAGCATTTTTCTCAGCTGAAGTACACTTTATACAGGTATGTTTCCACTCCAGGCCCTGACCTTCCTTGTCTTAGAGCATTTACTCTAGAAAACTTTCTAGTGTAAATTCTTTTTCTACCCCTTTGAGATGTACGTTTTTAGAAAGCCTCTTGCAAGTTTTACAACAGGACTGTCTTTCTCAAGGACCTGGGAGCTTTCCTTTAAGACACAATCATCAAGGAATATAGAGCCTCATCTCCCAGGTACTAAGGGAGGGTAGGAGCCTTGTGCCAATTTGTAAACCTTCTCTGCCTGTCACAAGGATGCAAGAAGGTTGACTCTTCCTTTGGGTAAAGCCAATTAGCAAACACACATAGGTGTGTTCTTTCTCTCCTCCAATACTTTAAAACTCTCCTGGATTTGTTTCAGTGAAGTTGAGCGCAGACTGAAACGGGCCTCTCTCCCTTGTTGCAATCGTCTTGAGAAATGTCTTCATACTGTTTAACTTACCAAGTGCAACTTCCACTTGGACACCACACACGCATCTCCCATGGACTCCTAAACATACATATAATTGGCAGAGGCCTCACCACTCCACTGACGGGCTCTTGAACATTATTCATGAAACTTCTGGTGCTTGGTCTTACAGACTCCTCAATAACTGACTTGACTACCCCACCACTCTCTTGGCTAAGAAGATGTCTCTCTCCGCCAGTTCCTTCCTATCTCTTTGACTCTCTTCTTCTCTCTCATCTGTCAAAGACTCGATGTCCTCAGGACTCTGATCACACGCTCTTTTTTTGCAACTGAACACTTCCCAGACAATTCTACTTACCTTCAGGCCTTAAGTAATGTTCACACAAAGACAGTCACATTTATATACCTACCATAGACCTCCCTTCTGAGTTTTGGACCCATATATCTAATTTTCTACTTGATAGACTCACTTGTAAATTCTAGAAGCAGTTCATATTCAACAAGTTTAAAATTGAACTAAAAAAAATTACAAATATACACTTACATGAGCGAAAAGATAAAAGTCATATCACACTGTAACACGGCTTAGTCCAAAAGTGGGAAAATGAGAATTCGTTTTCCTAATATATCTCTGCTGTATGTCTCATTAAATTGAGCAGTAATTCCATTTTATAACTGACAACAATCAAAGGAAGAAAGAAAACCTGAACTCCCCCGCCCTATTTCATAGAGTATTTCCTCCTTCAGTCTGGGTGTCATTCTATACGATCATTTGCTCGGTCCAGTTAACTCTGTCTCCCCAAATCTCTTCTCTTCAGAGACAGACTAAGCCCCCTCATTCAGGCAGGCCCCACCACATCTTGCCAGGATGCATACTGTGGCTCTCACTGGCCCTCTACAGACCACTCTTGCTCTCCTGACACACACGCTCTCTCCTCAAGGTCTGAGAGATACCTTTAAGAGATATCTAGACCTCCATTTTCAAGACTCTAATGTCACCATCAATCCCTGCCTGACTAGGACACGTTTCCCCTCCAGCATCGCCATCTTGGCTGCTCTCCTCCCTTAGAAGCTCCAGTTCTCATGGTTTCCTTTCAACTCCTCACAATGACCAAGATCCCTCCATCTCAGCCTGCAGATCACCACCATTTGTCCTCACCTCTTCAGCTGGCCCAGCAACTAGTCATCTCTCCACTCTCAACTATTTTAAAAGACCCCTTGTTGATGCCTTCCCAGCCTTCCAGGCTGGTTCCTTTTTCACTGGTCATTGCATTTTTCCTTCATAATACCAAAATTTTAATCTTTGCGTTTGTTTTTAAACAATTTGCATCTCTTACACTAGAATTTGAGCCCCACAATGACCTGGAATGGAACCTTTCATGCCTACCATGGTACCTAACATACAGGAAGCATTCACTATATAACTGTTGAGTAAATAACTCAACAATTCTAATTCATGTGGTTTTCCCATAGAGGTATTTTTTTTTTCTGATTAAAGATACATGTGTTAGTAGAAAAACTAAAAAGCACAGAAACATTTAGATAATAAAGATATCAGAGACAACACACAGATCGCTGTTGCTAGAGTCTGATAGTTTAAATGTGCCTTCCATGTTATTTGGGCTACTCCAATGAAAAATTAGTAATTTAGAAATGATGTCTTTACTGGTCTTGTGATGGAGATTCTCTCATATTTTTCTACCAACTTTGTTCTGTGATATCTAAAGTGAAGATAAAAATTGTACCCTCAAAATCCTGAGTTGTAAATTATTATGATAAATCATATTTAAAAATGGAGTACAAAATGCTAAGTACGCATGTATGCCAAGAGTCAGCAGTCACAAAATGGCAGGGTGCACAGAAACATAAATCTCAGAGACTTCTTGGAAACTCTTGTCACGTGGGCATGGTGCCCACCAGTGTGCACAAGACATCAGCATCTCTCCCTGGCTGTGCTTTTGCTGGGGCATTTTTCAGGAAGTAGGAACATGTATTGGTCAAGGCATGACCTTCCCCGAGACAACACTTGGACCACAGAGCAAAAGACCATCTGAGGCGTCTCTGGGAAGAACAGGTTCCCTTGCAGTCCATCTCTCCCCCAACATCCTTGTGGCATCAGATGTGCTAAGCCTGGGATAAAGAAATGTCTCAACAGCGCCAAGTCATATGGTTCCATCAGTATGCTTTATTGTTCTAAAGTCTTGATTTTTCCAGTGGCTTCCACACTCAGAAAAATAACTGGGCTTTATATTGCTTAACTGGGTACCACGTGTTTGCTTCACTCAATAATTTGGCCAGGAAATCCATCTAGTCAAGGATACTAAGTGGCCTCTGGACCTGTCCTCCACCATTGAATCAACAATACTGAAGTCAAGTTCAAACCTGAACTTCAACAGGATATATTCATGAGCATGTGAGCTTCTCTTCTCTGTTATCTCCAAGCTAGTTGCATGTTTCTGGAACTGTGGTTCTGCTTTGGATGTGACTATGATTTTCCAGGCTATTTTGTACCTTTGTGCCATGTTAAGGGTTTTTGTAAGCATTCTAATTAAATATAATTGTTGTACCTTTTTTTTTTGAGTTGGAGTCTCACTCTGTCACCCAGACTGGAGTACAGTGGCCGCTCCGGGCCACCGCAGCCTCGACCTGCTGGGCTCCAGCAATCCTTCCGCCTCAGCCTTCCAAGTAGCCGGAATTACAGGCATGTGCTATCACGCCTGGCTCATTTTTGATTTATTGTAGAGATGAGGTCTCGCCAAGTTGCCCAGGTGGGTCTCGAACCCACGGGCTCAGGCAATCCACTCACTTCAGCCTCCCAAGGCACGGGATTGCAGGCTGAGCCACCGAGCCCGGCTTGTTGTACATTTTTTAATGTCTATTAAAAATTATTGTGGTGACATGTGGGTGTGCCAATCTTCCGGCCCATCTAGTGAATTCTGCAACGTTTGCATTTGTCTTTGGTTCTCTGTGGGGAACAGTGAACAGGACTTTGGAACTTGTGATCAGGCAAGTGGAAAGATTTGAGCTACTCCATTGACTGTTTCTGTGGACTCCAGAGAGTAAAGTAGCCTCAGTTCCTTATGGTTCAACTAATAAAATAAAGCAAGGACATGAATTCCTTCTCAGGACATGAGGTCATTAAAAATCCCTCAGTTTCAATTCATTCTACAAAAAAGATACCTACACATGTATGTTTGTTGCAGCTCTATTCACAATAGCAAAAACATGGAACCAACCATGTTGCCCATCAAAACTGGACTGGACAAAAAAAAATGTGGTACATATACACAATGGAATATTGTGCAGCCATAAAGAAGGACAAACAGATTTAGAGGCAATCATACTCAGTGATCTATCACAGAAACAAAGAACAGAGTACCATGTATTCTCACTCGTAAGTGGACCTTGAACAATTATCACACCATAAGAAAGGGATTGGCGGTAGTGGGAAACTACTGGGGAGGGGATGGGATTGGCAGTTGAGGGAAACTGCTGGGGAGGGAGGGGCACACCTCATCAACAAGGGTACCTGCATAATCAACGTCTGTATACCTAACCCTGAATTGTACCCACCTCTTTATAATAATAATAAATTTTAAAAATCCCTCAATTTAGCCCTTGGGGATAACTGTAAGATCCTAGGCATGCAATTCAGAAAAAAAACCAGGTTATTTTTATGGGTTGAATTGTTTCCCCTGCACTTGATTTGTTTTAAGACCCAGGACTTCAGAAGGTGAACATATGTAGCAATAGGGTCATAGTGGATGCCAACAATTAAGAGGAGGTCATCCTGGAGTAGGGTGCATCCTAATCCAGTAAGACTATGTCCTCATGAAAAGGGAACTTGACACAGACATATGCACAGGGAGAACACCATGTGAAGATGGCCAAGGAATGACCAGAGACTGAAGACAGGTCTGGGACACATCCCTTTCTGGCATCCCCAAAAGTGTGGCTTGCCCACACTGTCATCTCCGGGTCCATTCTCCAGAATGGTGAGATAATTGCTATGTTTCTGCAATTGAGGGTGCTCAGTTTGTGCTATCTGTTGAGGCAATAGATGAGATTATAATATGAGGTCTCGGTAGTAGGTTAGATAATAATTTGGGACCTGGGAAGGCTGTGCTCACTTGAAAATAAACCTCAAGGTCCAACCTCTCAGTTCCCTGCAAAGAAACACCTCATCAGTACCAAGGGCGGTGGCCACAACTGGGAGGGAGGAACCAGGGCAACTTGGGGGTGTTCTGTGATGGAACCTGGATCCTAAAGTGCACATGTCTGCACCTGAGTCCATGATGCTCCCCAAAGCCAGTGGACCCAGGACACAGGGAGGCAGAAGGATGAAATCAGGCCTGAAAGTCTGTTTCCAGAGGGCCTCTGCAGAGCCTCCAAGGAAGCCTTGTCCTTATGAGTGTCGTTGGGTTTAACTCACCACTTGGAAAGACCATGATATATTTGATTTGGGATAAAGGCTTTCTGTCTCTTCTAAGTCTGTGGATAAGAAAGTGAAGTTATGATTTAATGTACAAAAGGAAAAATAGACAATTTGGTAGCAAATTGGTTTTTTGGATGAATGGTCTGCAGAGCTGAGCACTGAACCGGTGGCCGGGAGGCCCCGATCTGTCTCCACAGCTGAGATACACAACGATGGGAGATGACAGGGCTCTCCATCCTCGGGGTGGGGCTGCAGAAACATCATCACGGGCAAAAGCTGCCCGTGTCGACCTCTCGATGACATCTCGCGTCTAGGGAGCCCTCAGGAGGTGGATCCGCCAGCTTCAGAAGGTGACAGAGCCACACATTCTCATTAACTCTAGAGCCAGGACAGTGAGAGTGGCTGCTACATCACGAGCAGGTTTTCCCCAGGACACACTCAGCATTGCGGGTCCCTTGTAGACCATCCTGCAAGCTGTTCTGCAGAGGATTTTGGTGATGGAGGGGGGTCTACCTGCTGCTCTCTGCATCTACACGTGGTCGTGTTCAACATACACAGACACATGTGTGTGCCCTCCTGGCCCACGCCATCGTCTGCCTCCCTAGGCCTCACCCCCTCTTTTCCTCCCTATTCCCTTTTTGATTTGTGCTGCAGGGGAGGGAGTTTCTTACGCCTGAGCTGTTTCCTCGGGACATCAGGAAAATTGCAGGGGAAAAGGTCGATTTCTTTAGGGGACTGTGGGAGAGGGAGGGTCCTGGCGGAAGTGAGCAAGCCCCGGGGTCTCTTCTCGTTTACAGGGGAGGGGGCCATGCACAGTTGGCCACTCAGCTCCTGGGGTCGCCCCTTCAGCAAAATCAGGGCACAGGACTGCAGCTTTGGAGCCAAGGGCCAGGGACTGGTGCAGACATCGCATAAATCAATGCCAATTTGAAAGCGAAGATTATTTTAACCTTGGAAGGTCATTCTCTGTGTCTCAGTACAGGGTCTGTGATTTCATCACATAAGCGTTTCCCATGCCCGGCCCCCACCCCCATTCGCTCCAGCTCCAGCTCCAGCCACCGACCCATGAAGACCTGCAAACTGCATTGCAGCCCATTTGGCCTTTCCCTCTGAGAAGCTGAGCATTTGGAGGAGGTCATTACAAGACGGAGACCCGGGTCAGTGTGGGTCTTAGGAAGGTGACCCGTCTCCTCCTCCACCCCAGTGGGGTCTCCATGGAAGAGCTTCAATTGCCCCCAAAGGAAATGGAATAAGACATTCGGGAGTTATCTCCCATTAATTCCCAACTGGGTAGGAAGCCTCTGAGGCCAATTGCATTTGGGACAGGAGCTGTGGCCTCTCTTTTCCACCCAGTCCTGTCCCAGCTCTGAAGTCACACTTGGCACACATGGGGCTAAATACCTGCCAGCCTCAACCTGTAATCGCCCGACGCAGCTAGAGTTCCTCTACATGAGTGAACAGCTAAGTCCAGGGTTCTGATTTGCTACTAGCAAGACCCTCACCTGGCCACTCTGGGCAGTCCTCATTAAAAAAAAAAAAGAATATATATATATATATCCTTAATGTTTAAAAATGTACATTCTTAACTTTTGACTCTAAAATATAAATGCTCCATAGATCTTCATTTAAGGGAAATCCTACTCATCAGCAAGATAAACGATTTCTCGAAGTAGTGTCAGGAGACCTGTAAAGACGTGAGCTCCAGAAGTTTTGCAAAGGATGCAAAACCGAGTAGTTGAATGGCAACTTGTGCATTTGATACCAAGGGTGACAGTAATGCAGTTCCCCTCCATGTTCTTTCAGCTGACACTCTGACCCCAGAGCCAACTTATTCTCATTACTTGGAAGCACTTATGGTAAATCCTATCTTATAATAGCAGGTGTCATTACAGTGATGAAACTTAGATATGAGTCAGCTGACTGCTTTTCACTTGTGCTAAGCCTCAGTATTCTGAAAAAGTTAGCGTGGTTTGTGGTTTTACTAAAGAAATGTTTAAAAAAGAATCTCAAAATATTTCCCAAACATTCTTCCTAATATGATAATATCTGGAAAATAAATAAACGAGAGAATTTAGGATAGCACCACTATCTTAAACTTACAAACTTCCCACAGAGTTGATTTTACATTTATCAACCACAAATTATCTAGATCATTCTGTTCACCTTACTCTGATGAAGGAGAATTGGGATTTTTAGAATTGCTTGCCATTTAAAACTTTTTTTTTTTAGCACCTGCTATCTTTAAAACCTGAGCTGGTACACAGGGTCTTTTTGGGATTTCTAAACAGAGAATAACAACACAGTCAGGGAGGGGAAACAGGAGTGCAGAAAAGAAAGACATAGAGGGAAGTGTTGTCAGTATTTCCTGTGGTGCCAATGGGGAGCTATTGTGTACATAAGAGATCCTATCTGTGGACAGAATGCCTAGCATCAAGTGGTCAGAACCTGGAAATTTGTTATTGAATGATGAATCCATCATGATCCCACCTAGACCTTCCAGTCTTCCTTGGCTGCCAAAACGTATCCTTGTTCTGTTACACTTCCTTGTGACATCCAGAGCAAAACTCCCTGCCTTCTGACACTAGATACTTCCCTGTCACATTACACCTATCCTTCTTGTGAAAAAAACAAAAACAAAAATACCTTGGGGAAGTTAAAAATGGCTCCTCTCAAAAGATGGGGACTCCCATTCCCGACTGATGGTACCTAAATATTGGCTTGGGATTTTGGTGCAGCACCTGTTGGTTTTGGTAAGAAATCAATCACTGGTGGTGCTGTTCTGAGCTTCAAAGTAGCAAATCATTTCTCTCTGACCTCAGAGAAGCCAAATAGATGATATTATCAATGGTAGAACACTTTTTTTTTTTTTGGCCTTAACAAACTTTGAACTAAACTTTCTTTTTTTAATTCCTAAAATTAAACCTGGGTTTGTAATAAGATACTGAACAAATACTTTTTCAATTTTTATTTTTAAAAACATAGCTTTAAGCATAGAAAGATATTCAAGATCATGTATCAAAGTCTGAGTAGTTAGGAATCAATAAGTTTATCTTTTAGAAAATACAGTCACATAAAATCGCTATATGTTATAAACCGTGAAAAAAATGTGTACCTCGTTATAATGTCCACCAGGAGTGTGTTGTATTCCTTGTATTCCAGGAGGTCCCTGTATTATAAACAAATCAAAGACAAATAAGTAAACATTTATCAAAACAATGTGTGTTTAAACACTATATCTAAGAATTCTTCAGACAGTAAGAAAAAGGAAGTGTCTGTTTAGTCAAATGTTCTAATTAATAGGGAATTACATAGGTATTAACTTATCATCAGGTTCCTAAAGGTATTTCTAGGTTAAGTCCTGCATGAATCCAAAGAGACGTCATAAGTGGGACCATGTAATATTTTACCAGAAAGTCAGTCATCGGCATATTCTTTCTTAAAAGAAATTGCAGGGTTGGACATGGTGGCTCATGCCTGTAATCCCAGCACTTTGGGAAGCTGAGGCTGGCAGATTCCTTAAGTCCAGCAGTTCAAGACCATAACAGACAACATAACAAAACCTCATCTCTACAAAAAATAAAAATAAAAATAAAAATTATCCAGGTGTGGTGATGTGCGCCTGCAGTCTCAGCTACTGAAGTGGAAGGATCGCCTGATCCCAGAAGGTCAAGGTTGCCATGATCCATGATCATGCCACCACACTCCAACCTGGGCAACAGAGTGAGACTTCAACTCAAAAAAGAAAAAAAAAAAAGAATGAAAGAAAAAAATAAATTATACCCATAAGACTCTTCCAGGGAAAAGGTTATGGCTTCAGTCTATATTGGCACTCCCTATAGGGCTTTGGCCAATTTGCTATAGAAATGTGTGTCCCCACATGTTATTAACTAAGAAAATACAGGGAAATTTTATTTTTCTATTGCTTTATCCTTTTGAATTGGTTGTATGAAAGTGGGCTGACATGAACTTTTGGTCCAGGAAAAGATGTCTGCTATAAAGTCTTAGACATGGGAAATTTAAACACTGGCAGCTCTTAGTTGACCTGGAAATATTCACCAAGTTCTGCTGATTTTGAAGAGGATAGGAAAGAAGTCAAGACATTTGTCTGTCCCTAAAGCTTCTAGGAAGCAAGGAAAGGTTTTCCACGTTTCCAGGGATTACATTTTAGGGAGAGGGCTGTAAGAAAAATAGGAAACTTAGCCTTATTTTAGATCATGTGGTTCAAACCAAGATAGATACATCTGTCTCAGAAAAGAGATTGCATATTTCACCTAGGTCTGGAAAGCTAGTAGGAGAGAAAAAAAACACAGAGGCAAAGTTTGGAAGATAAGACTCAGAAAGAGGATGACTGAGCAAATCAAACAGCCCCATCATAGAGTATTTTCAAAAAGGGAATGAAAGCTTTGAAAAGTGGACAAAACGTTTAAGGAATAATCACTAGCTTACTCAGAGATACAGGTAACACCTTAGGTATATAGAAAAGATGGATGTGGGTTAACATTTACGCCAGGTGATCCTCATGAGCGGCTCATGACTGAAGAGCTCTTCTAATATGACTCCTTTGCAATGTGCCACCAAACAGAAAGGCCACTCGAATGTGGTGATGGATGCTCCAAAGCAGGTCGGTATAATTCTGGGGAAAGTAATGGGCCTTGCGAGTAATGGTGATGACTATGATCAGAAAGACAAATGATGCTGTTACCTTGTTGAAATAAGAGCAGAGCTAATGTCGGAAAAGAATTCTCATGGTGTTATAGATTTTTTTCTGTTGTTTTTTCACCAGCCAGCTTTGGGTAACGCATGCTAGGTCAGTTAGATGAAGCAGAAGAAAGCACTAGTTGAATTGGGGCTAGGGGCACAACACTTCTAGCTAATAGTGTGCAAAATCACATTCTTGACGTTCAGGAGACATGAGGCTCCACACACATTGACCTTCCTTCAAATTAGTAATGAGGCAAGGGGGAGTTTTCTCTTGTTTTTTTTTGTTGAAGTCTCACTCTGTTGCCCAGGCTGGAGTATAGTGGCACACTCATGGATACTGCAGCCTAGACCTGCTGGACTCAGGTGATCCTTTGGCCTCAGCCTTCCAAGTAACTGGAACTACACCTGTAGTTCTACCATGCTCAGCTAATTTTTTTTTTTAACTTACTGTAGAGACAAGGTCTCACCCAAGTTGCTTAGGCTGATCTGGAACCCCTGGACTCAGGCAATCCTTTCACTTCCACCTTGAAAAGTGCTGGGATCACATTTCAACATGAGCTTTGGAGGGGACAACATCCAAACTGTATCAGACCTTTTAGAGACTGGTTATCCACCCACAGAGGATAGCTGTATTCCATAAACACAGTGTCTATTCCTCATCTAGGATCCCTGACCTTGCTGCTGTTGAACTGACCACTGGGGATGCAGTGAGAGAACATGGAGCTCAGTGCAGTTGCTCCCTCTTGCCTCAAAAGCAAGAGCCACGAGGCTGTAGAAGCATTTGATGCTGGGCTCAGTGGCTCAAGCTGTAATCCCAGCACTTTGGGAGGCTGAGGTGAGTGGATTGCCTGAGCCCGCGGGTTCGAGACCCACCTGGCAACTTGGCGAGACCTCATCTTTACAATAAATAAAAAATTAGCTGGGTGTGGTAGTGTGCACCTGTAGTTCCAGCTACTTGGAAGGCTGAGGCGGAAGGATTGCTAGAGCCCAGCAGGATGAGGCTTCAGTGGCTGGCAGCGGCCACTGCATTCCAGTCTGGGAGACAGAGTGAGATGCCAACTCAAAAAAAAAAAAAAAAAAAGAAAAGAAAAAAGAAACATTTGACGAGGTTATTCAGATATTCACAATGTTAGTTGACCCATACGAGTTACTTCTACATCTTCATATGTTGCGTTCTTGCCGTAAAGGGTCATATCCACAAAGCAGTGCTCGAAGCTAAAATTTTAGGTTCTACCAGTTAGTCTCATGACAAGCATCTGTGATGATATTTTTCTTTCAGTCATTGGGATGTTTTGACTTTCAGTGACTTTCAGTGATACAGGGACTTCCAGTCACTGGGTACCACAAATTCCAAGTTTAATGTAACAGAAGTTTACTGTCAACAATCTGCTCTGCAGGTGATACTTTACACAAACTCTCCCCAAGGCTGGAGGAGCCCTGCAGAGACTGAAAGGAGACACCAGTGGAGTCTTCTGGAAGTCTACCTCAGTCAGTCTATTGCAGTCAGGGTAGCAGTGACTCATTTGGTTGTCCTTGAACTGTCAGACAGAAACAACCTCAACAAATATAGCGACCCTAGGTACACCCTATGCATAGAAATGGCAAGAGAATCTGGTCAATTATATAGACCTTGGGCTCTTGCAACTATTGGCTGTCCTAAAGTCACATTTCCAGCAGATGTGCTATTTTCCATCTTCTATTCTGGTATGAGACGTGGCTGGAGAAAAAGCAAGGAGCTCCTTGTTTCCAAGTTTAGCAAGAGCTGTCTGTCTTGTAGACCATCTATTAGCTCCTAGGAGAGAATTTAAAATGTGTGGTATGTGACAGATCTCCCGGCATCACATGGTGTTAGTAGATGCTGCAGACACTGGAGAGGTCACTTTCTCTGCGGGTTGCATTTATAAGGACCCATCAGAAAGACACTTTGACGACCCAGTAGAAGAGAGAGGTCCACTGCAGAGGGTGCAGCAGCCTCGGTTAATGCTCTCAGGACCTCTACTAGGAAAACCAGTTGAAGGTTTACGGTAAAGGAAAAATGTCTAAATGTCTCACTCATAACAGTGGCCCACAACAAAGCTGTACACAAATCCTGGCTATACAATGTCTGCCTTTTATGGATCTTTGTTTCACGCTATGTGTATTGGACTTGGAGAACCAGGACATCTGGATGAATATGATGAGTAACAGTGTAAAGCAGCTAAGATGTGAGAATGAACTCCAGGAAGACGCATCTACTCAGAGCCTGACTGTGCTCTGGTGTGATTATCTGAGAGGGCTGTATACCTTGTGTGGGTAAAGCCCCTGATGTTATTTCTTACTGCAAAGACCAGCACCTGGTGGCAAAGTGAATTAAAGCTATACGCAAGTTGGGAAGTAGATATTCCCAGGTCCAGTCTTAGCAGTACTTTGGAAGTTTTTGGTTAAAATCTTGATGGAGGTGGGAAGCAGAAATGTCACAGAGTCTGCCACCTGGCTTGTCAGAGTATCATGCGAAAATGAAGGGCTGTTTGCAGTGTCACCCTCTTGGTGGTTGTCAGTGTAGACTGAATACTCCCAGAGTTCAGAAGTTGGAAGAGGTCTCTGTTAAAAGTCATACCTCCTTAGTCCTATGCTCAGCTGTGCTCTCATGCTTTAGTCAATTCATCTGGTGTACTAGCCTCAGGGTACCACATTTTTTGCCTTTTCCCTCACTGCCCTTTGCCAAAAGTCCTCTGCACAAGTTGAGCTCGAGGCTTTTGGCTCAGCCTCTGCCTGCCCTGCATGCAGGAACCAAGACCTCCTAGCCAGCACCTTTGACCACTCCGAGCCTCTCTCACACTATTTTCCTTTCTCCCACTTCTCTGAAAGCACCTCTGAGTATGATCGACTCCAAATCCATCCAAGTTGCTACAAAGTCCATATATTTGTCCTTCTTTATGGCTGCATAATATTCCATTGTATATATGTACCACATTTTCTTTATACAGTTCAGCTTTGATGGGCAACATGGTTGGTTCCATGTTTTTGCTATTGTGAATAGAGCTGCAACAAACATATGTGTGTAGGTATCTTTTTTGTAGAATGATTTGAGTTCCTCCGGGTATATTCCCAATAGGGAAATGCTGGGTCATATGAAAGGTCAATTTCTAGTTCTTTCAGAAATTGCCACACTGTCTTCCAAAGAGGTTGCACTAGTTTGCATTCCCATCACAGAAACAAAGAACAGAGTACCATATGTTCTCACTCATAAGCGGACCTTGGACAAGTATATAAGAATGCGTTTGGCAGTAATGGGAAACTGTCAGGGGAGGAAGGTGGGATTGGCAGTTGAGGGAAACTGCTAGGGGAGGGAGGGGCATACCTCATCAACAAGGGTACCTGCATAATCAATGTCTGTATACCTAACCCTGAATTGTACCCCACATCTTTATCATTAAAACAAAAAACAAAAAACAAAAAAACCCTCCTACTCTGTAATTCTGTTGA